CGCCCGCTCCGTGTGCGCCCGCCCGGCCGTGGGGGATCGGGCCAGACCGTCCTGCCCGGGGGGCGCAGACCGGACCCCCCCGGCCTGAGCACGGGGGCGGGGGGCCGATCCCGGACGGTAAGTGGGGCCGGAGCCGTGCAGGGGTCAGTGCGGGGATCCCCCGGAGCGGACCGGGCCGTGTATGGGTCGAGCCCTGCGGGGGTGGGGATCCCGGGTGGCGTTATCTTTAAAAGCAGGAAAACACCCAGGGCCGCCCTGCGCCCCAAACTCCTGGAATCCCCCTTTGTATCCGTGGCACCAGCACCGCGATTGGGGGGGATCCTAACCGGACGTGCTGGGATCGGTGCAGGGTCAGAGGGACCCCGCCAGGTCAGACCCCTCCCTAAGGCCCAGATAAGCCATTTGTGACCCACTGACCCCAAAGGTGGGGGGAGAGAGTACCCCTAACGGAGCCAGCTCAGAGATTGGGGGGGGGAATTAAGATTTTTGGCTGGACCAAAGTTTAGATTGCCCCCTTCCTCCGCCTCACCCCCTAACTGCCTGTCTCCCACCTGGCCGAACCCTATGCTGCCTGATTTCCCCCCCCCCTCCTTCCCTGATCCCTTCCCCCCTTATGCTCCCCACACCATTTGCCCTTCCACTGTTAGGATCCTTCCCCAATTCCCCTCCCCCAGCCCCTGCTCCCCACACCGCTTGTCTCCCCACTGATGAGATTTTCCCCCAATTCTCCCCCCACCCCCAGCCAGCACTCCCCACGACTCCTGTTTCCCTTGCCTGTCTGATCCCTGCCTCAGCCTAAATTTCCCCGTGGCCCTCATCTCCTTTGCTGCCATGATCCCTTCCCTGCCCTGTGATCCCCATACTGCCTGCCTCCCCCATGGCTGGGATCCCTCTCTGATCTGTGCCCTGGCCTACATTCCCCATGGTGCCCACCTCGCTCCCTGCCAGGGATCCTGCTGTCAGGATCCCTCCCCGACCCTGCACTCCCCACACCATCTGCCTCCCACAGCTGGGATCCTTCCCCAATTCCCCTCCCCCCATATCATGTTCTCCACACACCCCACCTCCCCCACTGCTGGGATCCCTCCCAGTCCATCTCCTCTACTGCTGGGATCCCAGCCTGCGCTCCCTACACTGCTCACCTCCTGCCCCCCCGCATGGCTGGGATCCCCCCCAGCCTGCACTCCCTACACTGCCTGCCTCCCCCACTGCTGGGATCCCTCCCAGTCCATCCCCCACAGCCTGCCTTCCTTGCTGTCAGGGTCTCTCTCTGATCCCCAGCCCACCACCTGTGTCCAGCTCTCCCAGAAAAGCCCCTCTGGAGAGAAGTCTCAGGAGATCCTGCCTTTTGGGGGATCCCTCTCTGATTGGCTGTCCTCCCCAATGCTCCGCCTCCTGGGGAGGAGCAGCCAATCAGAGCTTGTGCAGGAGACAGGCAGGGCTCTTCTCTCACCCACCTTCTTCCAGTAGCAGGACAGAGTTTTGGGGTAAGGGAGAGGAGAGTAGGAAGAGCCCAGCAGGGCACCTCCAGTCTGCCCCCTCCCTTCCCTGCAATACCAGGCCTTGGGGCAACAGCCGGAGAGCGGAGTCTAGAGCGGCTGTGGGTGGGGGAGGTGTCATTTTGTACACTTCTCTAGGGCACACCCATGTTCCCTTACATGTGCTCTGGCTGGCTGGGAGAGGCCACAGGGCTCCAGGCCCCAGAGGCTAATTATAGACCCGGCCAGACATAAATATTAACACTGCTGGGTCAGTGAGAAGGCTCCTGCCAGGCTGTGCATTGGAACCATCCACACATACTTTCTGCTGTGTACCACTTTGCTCCCCTCAATCCCCTAAGTATGCCCCCTCCCCCTGATCCCACCGCTAACACCAATACCCTGTCCCCCACCACGCTATAATGTTCCTGCCCAGCCTTGGGATGTCCCAGCTCCCCACAGCTCTGATTTGCTGATGGCTGCTCTGGGGTCCCCTCCTCCCACAGATTGGGTTGGCTATGGGGCTTTGGGTTCCAGAAGATCTGGGAGGTGGGTGGGTGTCTATTCATAGCCAGGGAGAGGCTATAATTAGCCTGGACTTGACCAGAGCTCCTGCCTCAGGAGAGGAGTTGATAGACTCCCTTAGCCTCTGTTGGATAGTGCCCCTGAATCCAGACCCATAGTCCCCTGCCCTCCCAGCCCTGGGCTCCCTTCCCCCCCCCCCGCACTGCCAGCTGATGCCCCCCTCATTCCAGACCTGTGGTCCCCCTGCCATCCCAGTCATTGAGGCCTAGTCTGGCAATGCCTGTTTGGCTGGATTATAATGGGGACTCAATGCTGAGACCCTCCAACTCATGACATGCCCTCACTTTGAACCCAGCTATGAAACCTCCAAGGCAGGGGTCCCCAATGCGGTGCCCGCGGGCGCCATGGCATCTAAATGCGCCCGCATACTGGCCGGCGGACGAGCATCCGCCAAAATGCTGCCAAATTTCGGCGGCATTTCGGCAGCGACGCCTCTGGATGACGCCGCTTGTCGGTGGCATTTCGGCGGATGCTCGTCCGTCGCCACGGTCCTCCGTGGCTCATCATCTGGCGGGAGCCAGATGAAAAAGGTTGGGGACCACTGCTCCAAGGGATCCAGAAATCCAAGGATCTCTGCCATTGGGTGTGGGGGGAGGCCCAGTGGGAAGGGCAAGATACAATGTATGGGGAGGGGCTGCCATTCAGGGTTGGTCCCCACTTCTCCTTCATCACTCTCCAAATGGGGCTGGATGGACTTCAAGTGGGGAAAGGAATGGGGGTGGTCTGGATGCTCTGAGCCAAAGTGTCCCCACCAAACTCTTTGGCTTTGAATCCACTGGGCGTTGGGAGACTGGGGACGGCGGGGGAAGCCTCAGTTTTCAGGGAGGGGGATCCATGTTCCATATGTTCTCAGGGCACTGTTGGGTGCGCTCAGCCCCATGGCAGCTGCAGGGACAGGATCCCTGTCCCCAAGGCCCAAGGGGACTTGCCTTCATTCTCAGCAGTACAGAGGCAATGACACATAGTGGGGATACCAGGCCATTGGTCAGATCCAATTGAGAGGGGTCTCTGATTACCTGTCTGGGGGTTGTTGGTCCAGTCGGAGGGGCACTGGCAGGACTGTGGGCGGGTGACACTAACCCCTGCCTTACCCCTGGCAGGACCATGTGGCCCGTCTCCTGCCTGCTGCTGGCAGTGCTGGTGGGCACGGCACTTGCACAGGAGCTGGAGGAACCTGATACTTACACGGTAAGAATGTGCCAGCACCACCCACCCTGCACATGCCCTCTGGGGTGGAGCGCGGGGGCTGTTTATACAGGGTCCCTGGCCCTGTGCTGAGATGCAGCTGCCTCTGGGGTGGGGCACGGGGACTGTATATGCAGGGGTCCCTCAGCAAAACTCCAGTGTATTGGAGGGGGTCCCATCCTTAGTGTCCCTGAGAGACCCTGGAATAACAAACTGGGCTGCACAGCCCCACCGCTCGCAAACTGAGACAGTAACGCTGTCGGATTAACTAGCGGTTGCTCCCTTTGTAGCTTCTCTCAAATGAGTCATCGTATCCACCAGGGCTCCTTGCATCCCTCTATTCCTCGCCCCCTGGGTGCCAAGGCTCCCCATCCCTCCTATTTCAGAGGCTTCCTGCAACACCCCCTCCCCCCAATTTCTCTCCCCACCAGAGATGCTTTGTGCCCCCTCGCCTTCCTCTCTTCCCCTCCCCACCATTATGATTTCTCTGATCTGGGAGATAAATTCAATCAGTGTGTTACCATATTAAATCTATGGAGAGTGTTGTGTGCGTGTGCATGCTGCCCCCTGCTGGAGAGGATGAGACCTGCTCTGTGTCCGTCTATCCCTGCTGCCCTATGCCCAGGTGGTGTCTTTGCAGGGCCCGATCAGTTTTCCCGTAGCTGCCTGCTTGCCCTGAGCTGGCCTCGGACACCTGGGTTCCTCTCCTGACCCTGCAGGGCCCATTAATGCTTTCAAGAGCAATGGGATCCTGTTGGTTCATAGGGGGAAAGTTGGTTCAGCCTTTGATTTCTTCACTCCTATATTGGGGGGTGCAGGGGTGTTTCCCACTCCCTGTGGTCCCCCGACTGTAACAGTCTCCCTCTCTTACCCCTAGGAATGCACAGATGGATACCAGTGGGACTCAGACACACAGCACTGCAAAGGTATGAGGCGGGACTGTGGGGAGTGGTTGAAGGTGGGGGGCTGAGAGCCAGGACTCCTGGGTTCTATCCCAGGGCTGGGAGGGGAGCAGGCTGTAGTGAGCCCTTGGGAGGAAGAGCTTGGACTCCTGTGTTCTGACCCTGGGCCTGTCCCCAGATGTGAACGAGTGTGAGACCATCCCCGAGGCCTGCAAGGGGGAGATGAAATGCATCAATCACTATGGCGGGTACCTGTGCCTGCCACGCTCAGCCTCCGTCATCAATGATGTGCACTCGGAGAACGCTGCGCCCCCCAGTGCCCCTCGGCCCCGGCCTCCCCGACCCTCACTCACCGCCTCCCGTCACAATGCCTGCCCCCAGGGCTACGAGCCTGATGGGCAGGGCTCCTGCCTGGGTGAGTAAACAGGGAGCAGTTGAGGGGGAAGAGGGGTGAGGGGGCATGGTGGTTAGGACGGGCAGGGGGCATGGCTAAGCGAGGGGGCACGGTGGGGAGGACGGGCAGGAGGCATGGCTGGGAGAGGGAGTATGGTGGGGAGGACAGGCGGGGGCATGGCTGGGGCAGGGGTGGGGGAAATGGCTGGGGAAAGACAGGTGGGGGCACAGCTGGGGGGAGGAGGGAATAGTGGGGAGGACAGGTAGGGGGAACAGCCTCGGGTGCATGGGGGGGCACAAGGCACACTGGGAAGGAGGTGATTGGTATCACTGGGGGTTAGGGAGCTGCTTCCCCCCCAGGCAGAAGCTGATGATTCTATGGGGCAGATAACTCCTGTCTAGGACACCCCTGGGGCCTGATCCCTGGCACCCCCGGCTTGGGGGGGTGTCTGCCCCAGCTAACCCCGCATGTCCCGGTGCTGCCCCCTGCAGACGTGGACGAGTGTGAGTACGAGCTGCATGACTGCCAGCCCAGCCAGGAGTGCATCAACACGGCCGGTGCCTTCCACTGCAAGTGCCCCGATGGCTACCGCAAGATTGGCTCCGAGTGCGTGGGTGAGTCAGCACCGGCCACTGGGGGTGCCGTGCTGCAGGGAGCAGCGCAGGGGTTCAGCAGGGCTGGGGCAGAGGACGTGAGTTTAACCCCTTCTCTCCCGTGTGGCAGACATCGACGAGTGCCGGTACCGGTACTGCCAGCATCGCTGCGTCAACTCCCCAGGCTCCTTTTCCTGCCAGTGTGAGCCAGGCTTCCAACTGGCCAGCAACAACCGCTCCTGCGTGGGTAAGGGACCCGCCCTGCCAGAGGGACAATGGGGGCTGGGAACCAGGACTCCTGGGTTCTATTCCTGTTGTTCCCATTTGCATCACCTGGTGAATGTTTGAACGCTGTTATACACCACCATGCCCCACCCCAGAAGCAGTTGCCTCCTGGTGCTGGACATGTTGGGATCTCACACTGCGCTTTCCTTGTAGATGTGAATGAGTGTGAGATGGGGGCACCATGTGGGCAGCGCTGTTTCAACACCTACGGCACCTTCATCTGTCGCTGCAACCAGGGCTATGAGCTCGACCGCGATGGCTTCACCTGCAATGGTAGGTGAGCTGGCCCCTGCTCCTAGCCCAGCCCCCAGTCCTAGCCTTCCCCTGCTTTTAGCATGCCCCAGGTCTAGCTCCTCCCATAGCTGTAGCCCCTTCCATGCCTTTAGCTCCTCCCCTTTCTAGCCCCATGTTGTTGTATATCAGCTACCACCCTTTTATCTCACTCCTGTTTCAGTTCCTCCAAAATTTTAACCTTTCCCATTTCCCTTATCCCTTCTCTGTTGGCAATTCCTCCCTTCTTGTCTCCAGTTCTTGCTCCTCCCATGTTCCTTCCCCATATTCCCTTTAGCCCCTCCCCTCTGCTTTGCCCCGCCCACTTGCCCATTCACTTGCCTTGAGGACCTTCTTAGCTCCTCCCCCTGCTCTTTTCCCACCGATTGGCTACAAGGGGTGGTAAGGGGGACTCTCTAGTGAGGCTGATGGGCACAGACAGATCCTGTGGTTCCTGGAGCGGGGTCAGGGATAGACTAGGAGGTGAAGGGAGCCCGGGCCGTTCACACCTTGCTTCCCCCCACCAGATATTGATGAGTGCAGCTACTCCAGCTACCTGTGCCAGTTCCAGTGCATCAATGAGCCAGGGAGATTCTCCTGCGACTGCCCCCAGGGCTACCAGCTCCTGGGCACCCGCCTCTGCCAAGGTACCAATGCTTCCCAGTGCTGGGAGGGGCTTCCACCACAGAGCTACTTTCTCCCCAGGACACTCCACCCACCCCAGCTGGCCCCAGCCCTGAGCAGCCCCCTGCTGCCCTAAAGAAATCCCAGAACCCCTGCAAGAGCCATTGAAAGGAGGTGGCTTGGCATAGCAGGGGGCTGTAGGTTGGGATTGAGGGCCACAGCAGAGCTGTGTGAAATGCATTCTGGGGTTTCCCCCTTCTCTGAGCCAGTCATCGCAGGAGAGAGGCCAAGATCTGAACAGATCCCTGTTGGTGCCCCAGAGCATCCTGCCTCCAGTGGTAGGGGGCCTACTGACTAGGAATGGGCAGGCACTCAGGATTCCTGGGTTCTATTCCAGGCTCTGCTACTCACCTTGGAAAAGTTCCTTCCTCGCCTGGTGCCTCAGTTTTCCCTCTTGCCCCATGTCTATTCAGACTGAGGGCTCTTTGGGGCAGAGATTGTCACTGTGTGTCTGTGCAGTGCCTGGCACAGCAGGAGCCTTGATCTTGACCTGGAGGTTGTCCTGTGTGGTGGCCGGCTCAGTGGGGGCCCCTGATTGTGTTGGGGTCTGTGCAGCACCTGGCACAATGGGAGTCCCAATCTCGATTGGGGTCTGACTCCAGTTACCCCAGTCTCTCCCCACCGCAGACATTAACGAGTGTGAGACGGGCGCCCACCAATGCACCGAGGCCCAGAGCTGCATCAATTTCCACGGGGGCTATCGCTGCGTGGAGAAGAACCGCTGCCTGGAGCCCTACGTGCAGGTGTCTGACAAGTGAGTCTATGTGGTGTGCTGGCTGGGGACTGGGCGGTTTCTCTCAGCTAAGCAGGGTTGTCCCTGGATGGAGACTCATAAGGAACCACCAGGCTTGCATTGTAGTCAATGCTGACCCCAATGTGGCACTAGGAGGTGCTGTAATGCAGGGTCAGGAGGCTCAGTAGGGGGCGCTCTCCCCTTGCACACAGTACTGGCCCCAGTGCTGTGCTTAGTAATGCCACATTTTCCAGTAGCTGAGAGATGAGTGTTCTGCCGAAATATAGGGCAACCAAGTATTGGGTTTTCAACCGCAACACCTGGTCAAAAAGGGACCCTGGCGGCGCCAGGCCATTAAAGGTCCAGTCGGGGGTGCTGCAGATCTAATGCAGGCTACTCCCTACCTATCCTGGCACCGCACTGCGCCCCGGAAGCAGCCAGCAGGTCCGACTCCTAGGCAGGGGGGTCAGGGGGCTCCGTGCGCTGCCACTGCCCCGACTCTGCACTCCCATTGGCTGGGCAGTGCCTCCTGCCCCCCTGCCTACTAGCGCCAGACCTGCTGGCCGCTTCTGGGGTGCACACAACGTGGTGTCAGGACAGGCAGGCAGCCTGCCTTAGCCCCGCTGCACCGCTGATTGGGAGCCGCCCAAGGTAAGCCTGCGCCCCAACCTCCTGCCCCAGTCCTGAGCCCCCCACAAACCCAGAGCCACCCTCTGCACCCAAAGCCCTCATCCCTGGCTCCACCCCAGAGCCCGCAGCCCCCTTCCACACTGCGAATCCCTCGGCCCCACCACCCAGCCTGGAGCCTCCTCCTGCACCCCAAACCCCTCATTCCCCAGCCCCACCCCCAACTGGAGCCCTCACCCCCCTCCTGCACCCCAAGCCTCTGCCCCAGCGAAAGTGAGTGAGAGCGAGCCACTGAGGGAGGGGGGAATGTAGTGAGTAGGGGCAGAGCCTTGGAAGAGGTGGGGCTAGGGTGTTCGGTTTTGTGCATTAGAAAGTTGGCAACCCTACCGAAATACCCCATTCTAAGCAGTCAGAAAGTCAGTGAGAGACCCAGGGATATATCCCAGATGTCCTGCCCCACAGTAACTTTGTCCCTCCCTCGTAGCCGCTGTCTGTGCCCTACCACAAACCCTCTGTGCCGGGAGCAGCCCTCATCCATCGTGCACCGTTACATGAGCATCACAGCTGACCGGACCGTCCCTTCCGACGTCTTCCAGATCCAGGCCACCAGCGTCTACCCCGGAGCCTACAATGCCTTCCAGATCCGCTCTGGCAACGAGCAGGGGGAGTTCTACATCCGGGTGAGTGGGGGGAGGAGAGCAGGAGGGGGGGCTCTTGACAGGACAGACCACTGCAGAAGGCGGGACTTCCTCTTTTAACCAAATTACCAATGGAGGGGCGGGTGGCTGCTACCAGGACTTTCTGGGTTGCTCATAGTGCCAGGCAATGGGCATGCCCCGCTTATCCAGGAACCCAGACAGTAGGCCTGATCTCCTCCTTGAGGGCGGGACACTCTGAATTGCTCATAGCACCAGCCAGTAGGTGCTTCCCTGAAGGCAGGACTTCCTGCATTAGTCTAACCCAGCCAACCAAAGAAGCAGCAGCTGTTTCGTGGGGGGGAGGGGAGTAAGGGGGAACAGACAGAGCTCCTGGAATGAGGGGTGGGGGGGTTACAGGGAATCCCTGAACTAGAGGGGGTGGAGGGATGCCAGGCGCGCCGGGAGGAGGTGATGTGCTTGGGCAACAGAAGCTATGGATGCCCCCCTAGTTATTAGTGGGGGTAGTAGGGGGCTGGAGGAGACCAGCAGAAGGGGAGAAGTCTGAGCTGGAGGCAGAGGGGGTGAAGTGGGGAGGGCAGAGACACAGGGTGAATCAAAACAGCAGGAAGTGACTGCCCTGAGCCCTCTTTTCCTTTGCTTCCTTGGGCCAGAGGGGATTGGCTCCAGTGCATGCGGGCTGGAGGGACTCTACTGGCTGGCGTTAGTGAGGGGCAGGGCTAGAGCTGCGGGGCAGAGCACGTTTTAAACAGTATTTAGATGCCTGATGCTCTTGATTTCAAGGGGCCTAAACACCTTTTAAAAAATCTGGCCTTGTTCTGCTGTGACAGGAAAGCAGGAGCTGTGGCTGATCAGCTCCACAATGTCAGGGCAAGGGCTAGGCACCCCGGGGCTGAACCCCTGTGCTTGGGGGGGTGGGTCGGATCAGGAAATAAGATCAGCAGAAAACCAGGCCCCTTTGGGATGTCACTGGAGCCCCCTACAGCTGGCAACAGCTTCCTCTGCTGCTCTCTCACTGGGGCCACACCTTGACTTGGGTCAGCAACAAAGTGGGCACCGCTTTAGTTGCACTGAAATGATTTGGTTGGGTCAGCGCCCCCTGGAGGGGAAAGGCCCCACGTCCCCTTCCCCACCACCCCCAACTGGGGCCAGATGGGAGCCAGTGCCCCCTAGAGGTTTGCGCTAACTCATCTGCTCTCTTGGCAGCAAATCAATAACATCAGCGCGATGCTGGTTCTGGCCCGGCCTGTCACCGGGCCCCGGGAATACGTGCTGGACCTGGAGATGGTGACTATGAACTCACTCATGAGCTACCGCTCCAGCTCGGTGCTGCGCCTCACCATCTTCGTGGGAGCCTATTCTTTCTAGTGCCCCAGCCTGGGTAAGACAGGGCCAGTTTGTGGGGGTGGGGATGAGTGGGGGGGTCCCTGATTAGCGATGGGGGGCTCCCTAAATGGGAGAGCCCCATTATCTCTGCTCCCTGCCCCTTCAGACCCTCCCAGACCAAGAAAGATTTCACCCAGCTCTGGGGCATGTCCGCTCTGAGAAGCCAGGAGAACAATCCCCAGCTGGAAACCCTAAGAGTCAGGGAGCCCTGTCGGGCAAGTTTCTCCCAGAGAGAGTCCTGAGGGGGCTAGATCCTGGTCTCTCTGTCCCGCAGACAAAGGCCAATCAAAGCCAATGCCAGACACTCAGCCTGGAACTGAGGGGTGGGTGTTTATCAGGGAGAGGGTATTTGCTGTGGGAACAACTTACCTGGGCGGGGGGAGACCGGGGAGAAACTCTACTGCTCAGGGGCTTCCAATGCAGCCGGGCTGTATCCCTCTAGCTTGAGCACCAGACATGGGCTGCGTGCTGGGTTTGCTGTGGGGACATGCTCCAGCACATGGGAAAGGAGCTGAGCTGAGAGCCATTTGCCCCAGGGTCCTGGCCTGTACCAGCTGCTCTGGGAAGTGTACAACTGGGCAGGGGGGCAGATTGTCTCACCCAGCTGTGTTGTGGGCTGAGATCAGAATGTCCTGTCTGGCTGTAAAAGCAAGGAATCCCAGAGCAGGTGGAGCCATCCTGGGCAGACCATGGAACAGGGGGGAGGAGGGGTGTGTGTGTGTAACACACCTGCCTCCTCCTCTCCCTAGGGGCTGAAGCAGCAAAAAGCAGGATCCCAGCCCCACTGTTGCTGTTTTCTGCCCCTGCAGGTTGGCACTGGTCCCAAGGGGACAGTGCAGCTGGACCCAGCTTCGGCTCGCCGGCTCTGGAGAGACATCAGTGGGGTACGGGACCCCAGCTGCCACACTGGAAACTGACATGCAGCTGGGCCCAAATCTCCCATCCCTCGAGCCTGCCCCCGGGCTCTGCCCCTCCCTGGCTGGAGGCCCCCGAGCTGGGCTCCTGCTCAGACCGGAGGTGGGATTTTGGCCGACTGTTCCACTTTTTGGTTTGAAAAAAGGAAAATTTCAGTAAAAGCACCAAGACCAAACCCAGAGTAAGGCAAAGCAGGTTGAGTTGGGGGTTCTGGTTCTGCCACCAGCACCAGAGCCGATTGGGGAAGGTGGGGGCGGGTCTGGGCCCGGGCAGCACTAGGCACAATTGTGTGAGTGTGAAAAAATAATTGGCCATGTGAAGAACAGGCAGCTGTGCTTGAACATTGGCCAGAAGCCCTTCAATAGGGGGAACTATCCCCTCCCAGGGTGGAGCGAGGGAGGGGGGCATATGCTTAGTAGGGGGCACGCTCCCTCCGCAGCCAGGACCAGAAGCTCAGCTCTGGGACAAGATAAAACTGAGTTGGGTGTCCATTCCTGCCCATTAGCTCCCCTTCCCATGCGATGGGGGGTGAATCCTGGCATCTGAGGCCCCTCACAGTGGGATCCCCCCACATGGCCCTGACTCTCCCCCCACCCCCAGGGCGAAGGAAAATCCCAGTAGGAACAAAGGAGCCATCAAATTTATTGGAACAAGGAAAATACAAAGATTCATTAAAACAAAGCCTGGGGCCGAAAGCCCCCGACAGTCCTTCCACACACACCCAGAAGCCTCCCTCCCCATAGGGCCACCATGCCCCCTGCGCGTACACCTCACAGAGGCAGAGTCCCCACCCGACCGCTCTGCCCCTGGAGACGGGTGCTGGCTCCCCCTGTCGAAGGGCTACGGTGCCCCTGCAGTCCCCAGCTGGGGCACTAGGCCCAGTGTGAAGCCTGGGGTCCCTGGCAGCAGGACAGATGAGATCCCCCTGCTCAGGAGAGGGGGCCAGGGCTGCAGTACAGCTGGTAGAGCGTCCTGCTCAGGGCAGAGCCCAGGTTCCTGGGGGAGGAAGCACAATGGGGAAGGGGGTGTTAGGGCCAGGGGAGGGGCACAGCAGGAGGCCCCAGCTTCTGACCATCAGCCACAAACTGAGGCACAGAGACCCCAGGAGTCCTGGCTCCCTGCCCACCTCTAGACCCCAGGGACTAAAATAGCCCCAAAGCCTGGAAATAATTCAAAAATCCTAAAGAAGCTTTTGAAGCCCGAGGGAGATTTTACAGATCCCTGGAGTGAATGAATCGGCTGGCCTGAGGGGCACCGGCAGAGCTGTGGTAAGGGGGAGCCCAGTACCAGGCTAGCAGGGGGGCGTGGGTCAGGCCTGAGGGGCCGCACGATGCTCACTCTCACCTCTGCAGTTTGCCACACTTGACGGTGCTCAGCAGCTTGTCCCGGCTCTCAGGGTCTGGGCAGGCGGAGTAGGCGGCCAGCAGGCTGATGGGGTGGAGACAGACAGTGAGTGGGGGCAGGGACTCAGGGGCTCCCAAGCTTTGTAGAGTAGAGGAAAGTGAGGCATGGAACAAGACAGGCATTCAGTCAATAGGAAAGGAACCCAGGAGTCCTGGCTCCCAGCCCTTCCACTGCTCTCCTACCAAACCCCACTCAGAGCTGGGGCCAGAACCCAGGCAGGTGGGGCCTGTACCTGGCCGGTGTGCTGTATCTCTCCAAAATGGCGGCTGCTTTCTCCCCACTCACTCCACTGATCTGCATGAGCTGCCGAGCGAACACCTCGCGCACAGTCTGGGCCTAGGGAAGCAGAGAGAAATGGGGGCCAGGGTCAGAGCCGGGGGAGCTGCCAAGGTGTACTCCAGTAATCCAGCCCTAGGGTAGGATCCTGGGAAGGGACAGAGCCATCCCAGCTCCTGGAGCCAGACAGTCCCCTGCCCCGGATCACAGCCAGTGTCCCATTCCCTGTCCCGGGGCTGGAAACAGGGTCATGGCCACTCTGCCCAGTCTCACCTTGTTCTTGACAGCTCCCTCATTGAACTCCTGGAAGGTCATTAGGGTGCAGGAGTCACTGTTGGGCTGCAGGGGGCAGCGGCCCTGAGCCTCTTCTTTGGTGCAGCTCACCAGGGTCTTGTTCTGGGGAGAAAAAGGAAAGGGGCACCTCATAAATCCAACCAACATCCCTGCTGGCGCCCCTCAATCCCGACCCACAACCCCCTGCTAACCCAGCTCTGGGCTCCCGGCTCCCCAACCCCG